TTGTAGGGTAGCCATGATGGAAAGGGAAAGGTTGAAGAGACTCCCCTCTTTCATGCTTCTGGGTTCAAATCTGTTAAAACTTTTTAATATGTGATACAAATCTATACAAACATTGTACATGTACAATGAGTATCAATGTGGAGTTTGCTTCCAAGAGTTACCCAATCCATCTCAACAAATTTTACAGGAGTTGGGGGGAAGTACTGAAAATGTGAATTCTTTTGATAGTTTTACATAAGATTCTACTCCTAACCAATAATTGTCCTGCCACCTACAACTCATTTTTTTATTTTTTAAAAAATTGGTACTTTTTGGAAACTGTTGCACTAGAGCTATGAAACACCTTTTCACCACAAACCACACTCTGTCCAGGTAATCCAGTAAGTAAAAGTTTATTAAAGAAGAGTATATAAAAATAAAATAAACTAAAAAGGAGAATTAAAGTTTAAGAAGTTGTTTCCAATACAGCCAAGATTCCAAAAACCTTTCAAATGCAGTCTCACAAGTCAATCCACAGGCATAGCCATAAACATAATAGCATGAATCGAAGGCAGTCATCCTGTGCCACACATGAAACTAGAAACAGGAACAAAATTTGAAACTTGAATATATGAATTCAAAAAAAGTAAGACCGGGAACCGAGAGCTGTTCACTCCAATACAATGTTGCTCTCACAAAGGATTGTACCAGCAGAAAATCACTTAAAAGGCCTCAATCCCTCCCATGACATAATTCCTCACACACCTGCTTTTCCTCTCCTTATCTCTAAGCCACTGGGAAAAGCGAGTCTGTTTCTGTTGTATGCTGTGCCTCCGAAGTTCCAAGTGCCTGAATCGGGACAAACATTCATCTCCCACATTACTCTCAGCCTGCACTTCTGGCAGATTCTCATGATAATGGATCACACTTTCTTTAGTCTCATGGGAACTGCCAGGAGATTTCAAAACAACTCTTTCCAGGCCACTTCTATCGTCATCTGGGCCGTCTGAATCTATCCCAGCATCCCCTTCCTCATCTTCTGAGCATTCAGAATTTGACCAGGCTACAACAGAAACAAACTCCACAAATATTTTGTATTGTTGAAACATCTTGCATATCATTCAATCTAATATACTTAACCTTTGCAAAAGGATAAAAAATGATAGAAACACTTACCAGGAAATTAGAGCTGTTCCTTTGCCATTGTTTCACACATTATCTCACATTCTCCATGTGTTCATGTGTCCTCTAGTATCTCATGTTATCATGTTCTGGTCAAGGAGAGTTGTCAGCTATTGATTATTACTTTAACAGTTTGACCAATAAAATGTTGTTTTGGCTGGCAACTGTCTAAAGAGTATCAAAGTGTGTATCAAAGAGACCCCAACAAAGTTATTTTTTTTAAGTTTTTATGAATTGTGTATGCTGATTAACAATTTATTCCTTGACATGTGGTGGCAAGATCGATAAAAATGTATCACAACATTAAATAAATTGTGGCTCAATTAATTATGTCGAGAATATTTATCTTCTATCCTTAACCTGCCAAAGAACCACTTTTGGTCTGCTGGGATTATCTCCACTGACTAAAGTAGATGGCATTTCACAAATCAAAAATCAGCATCCTTGCACTCAACAACATTTCTGTGTTCTAAAAACTTTTAAGGAAAGCAAAATTAATACTTCGTTCTTTGTAATCAAGAGAGAAGCAAAATGAATATTTGGGGAAAGTGTTATTAGTGTACTCTTAAGTGCACCAGTGCCTCTATATACCGGCTTCTTCTGCTTTCAACTCCGAAGCACTTTACAATAATTGATTGTTCAAGGTTGTTGTGCTATTATTATTTTCATTGTACCATGGTCATTTATGTCTGTAGCTTGGAAGCAACCTTTTTGTAAGGAAATCAATTGTGATTGCTGATTTTTTTTAGTTCATATGGCAAATTTTCTTTTTAAAAAAATCTGTGAAGAGCTTTTCCTGATTCAAAATAATGCAGGTGAAAATTTCTTTCTAGATACAAGAGCAGTCTTCTAATCATTTATCCTACAACAGACTCACTGATGTCAGTGCAAATGCTCCAGATTAAAAGATGCAAGGCTGATTTCTTCTAGCTAGGCAACTGTGTATTAATATTGTAAATGCTTAGCACAGTAATACAGTTTTACCTGGGGCAGTACAGTCAGAGCCTTCCAAAATTGGGAACACCAGCAAAATCTTATACCCATCTGGGAAGTTGGGCTAGAATGCTGTATTTCTGGGCATGAGATGCAATTAGCTCCATGAACTCTCTCCTCCATTTGGCCAGCAAAGGTGTCTGCATGGGGCTGAGCTTCTGGGGACTGGTTGGTACACAGAAATAATTCTTCTACTCATTGGGAGCATTTCCCAGGCTCTCTATCCCCACCGCAGTCATGAGGATATCCATGCAATTTGGTTTATGTATTCCCATATGAACTTTATTGTGTAAGAAACTATGAGTTGCTTCATGGCATGGCATGGGATCGCACAAGCATGACCTGATTGTAGATTAGTTAACAGTGTAGCAATGGTGAACTGCTAACTCTACAAAATAAGGCTCCTAAAGACCTTTATACATTCTATAGTGTATGGAAATGATGTGATATAAAATGAAAGGCCATATGACTACTCATAATTAAAACTTGTTGTTGTTGTTGTTCATTCGTTCAGTCGTCTCCGACTCTTCGTGACCTCATGGACCAGCCCACGCCAGAGCTCCCTGTCGGCCGTCACCACCCCCAGCTCCTTCAAGGTCAGTCCAGTCACTTCAAGGATGCCATCCATCCATCTTGCCCTTGGTCGGCCCCTCTTCCTTTTGCCTTCTACTTTCCCCAGCATAATTGTCTTCTCTAGGCTTTGCTGTCTCCTCATGATGTGGCCAAAGTACTTCAACTTTGTCTCTAGTATCCTTCCCTCCAGTGAGCAGCCGGGCTTTATTTCCTGGAGGATGGACTGGTTGGATCTTCTCGCAGTCCAAGGCACTCTCAGCACTTTCCTCCAGCAGCACAGCTCAAAAGCATCGATCTTCCTTCGCTCAGCCTTCCCTAAGGTCCAGCTCTCACATCCGTAGGTTACTACAGGGAATACCATGGCTTTGACTAGGCGGATCTCTGTTGCCAGTCTGATGTCTCTACTCTTTACTATTTTATCGAGACTGGACATTGCTCTCCTCCCAAGAAGTAAGCGTCTTCTGATTTCCTGGCCACAGTCTGCATCTGCAGTAATCTTTGCACCTAGAAATACAAAGTCTGTCACGCCTCCACATTTTCTCCCTCTATTTGCCAGTTATCAATCAGTCTTGTTGCCATAATCTTGGTTGTTTTTTATGTTTAACTGCAACCCAGCTTTTGCACTTTCTTTGTTCACCTTGATTAGAAGGCCCCTCAGCTCCTGCTCACTTTCAGCCATCAAAGTGGTGTCATCTGCATTGCTTGCAGTACTGTATATACTCGAGTATAATCTGACACGAATATAAGCCAAGGCACCTAATTTTACCACAAAAGAACTGGGAAAAGGTATTGACTCGAGTAAAAGCAGAGGGTGAGAAATGCAGCAGTTACCAGTAAATTTCAGAATACAATAGATACCAATACAATTACATTAATTGTAATAATGTTTTTTTAATATTTACATAAAACTGTAATTTAAGATAAGACTGTCCAACTCTGATTATTCTAACCTTCTTCACTGTAAATGTGCTTGCATGTTCTTCCAATAATCACCATAGTTTATTTGAACTATACATTTTGGGGGAAATGCTGTGTATATAAGAATAAAGAAAAGTGGGAAAGCTGGAATGTGTCCAGAGGAGAGCGACTAAAATGATAAAAGGTCTGGAGAACAAGCCCTATGAGGAGTGGCTTAAGGAGCTGGGCATGTTTAGCCTGAAGAAGAGAAGGCTGAGAGGGGATATGATAGCCATGTATAAATATGTGAGAGGAAGCCACAGGGAGGAGGGAGCAAGCTTGTTTTCTGCTTCCTGGAGACTAGCATGCGGAACAATGGCTTCAAACTACAAGAAAGGAGATTCCATCTGAACATTAGGAAGAACTTCCTGACTGTGAGAGCCGTTCAGCAGTGGAACTCTCTGCCCGGAGTGTGGTGGAGGCTTCTTCTTTGGAAGCTTTTAAACAGAGGCTGGATGGCCATCTGTCAGGGGTGAATGCAATATTCCTGCTTCTTGGCAGGGGGTTGGACTGGATGGCCCATGAGGTCTCTTCCAACTCTTTGATTCTATGATTCTAGGAATGAATTTTCTGGTCCCTAGTTGTTGATAATTTAATCGGGTAAATAAGGCACAGCTAGACAACATACACACAGACACAGTCACGCCTCCACTTCATAAAAAAGGGGAGCTGGGTTGCTGTGAGGAGAGGTGAGGGTCCTGGCAGGAAACTGTGGGGCTGAAAGAAGCCCTTCTTTCAGCCCCACGCCTTCCCAGCAGGACCCTTACCCGAGTATAAGCCGAGGGAGGCTTTTTCAGCCTAAAAAAGGGCTGAAAAACTAGGCTTATACTTGAGCTTATATAGTAAATATTACTAACCTCAATTGCGCTTATTTCTGGTCAAGTATTTGAAACATTGGACAGGCACAGCATCTGGGGGCCCAGCAGGAAAAAAAAGCACATGGACAGAAATAGCTGCCATCTGATGCTGGAGTCGATAATCATACACAAAAATACAGTTTTAATATATTAAGTATTATATTATTATATTTTAATAAATATTTCACAAAAAATGTGTATAGCTGCGCAAATTAATTTTATTTGTACTGTACTCATACCAATGCCTTTAGAATATATTTTTATATTAACTAAGAATTAGAATAAATCTATTTTCAGTTATGAGGAAAAGGCGCTTTGTATTCAGCAAGAAACATCAAAGCGTGTAAGAAGTGTCTGCTTGATTACTCAGTGATTAATTTTTAATGACACATTTACCTAGGGTTATATGCGCCTTCTAATTCTTGAGTCTGAAATACATCATCTGGGTTTTTTTAATAGGATTGTGGAAAAGGGGTATTACAGTGAACGGGATGCTGCTGATGCTGTGAAACAAATCCTGGAGGCAGTTGCTGTAAGTATTTACTATTCTGTGTTTCAGACCCAGAAGAATATTTCACTAATCTGTAATGATTTACATAATCAATGTTTACACAGGTGTGAAAGTAAATTCTCTGCAGTTATGGGAGAGTTTTCTATTTATTCATCAAAATCAGTGGAACGTTTGACACAAAAATGATCTTAGAAAGATGTCATTGTCATGATTGCTGTCATAACAGAGGATTCACTTTCTAAACTGTTCGTCTGCATTCTTGGATTTTTAATGCCAAAAATGAATACTGAAATTAGGTAGCTTCTCTTTCAGACTGGATCTACACTACCAAATAATGTAATTTGAACTGCATTCTATGGGTTTACACCAGGCATGGGCAAACTTCGGCTCTCCAGATGTTTTGGCCATCAACTCCCACAATTCCTAACAGCTGATAGGCTGTTAGGAATTGTGGGAGTTGAAGTCCAAAACACCTGGAAGGCCAAAGTTTGCCCATATTTGGTCTACACTGACCGTTTAATGCAGTTCAGATTGTGTTATTTAGCAGTGTATATTCAGTCTCAGCTGCCTGCAGAGTACTTAATGTAGAAAATGCACACGATATAAATGATTCAGTAAAGAAACTAATAGCACTGTTTTCAAGTAGAAGCTGAATCTCAGAAGTATATTACAAGTCTGTGGTTGATTAAATAGAATTTAGTAAAATTATTGAGAAGAGTTTTTTTATGAAAAACAGTAAATGTTTCAGCTTTCACCTTCCTTGACACTGTCTTCCAACAAACATCACCAAGGAAGTTGGAAGGTGAAACATTTGATACTTTTTATTAATACCCAATTTCATTAAGTTTATGTACGTGTATTACTTTTAACACCTTTATATGGTATTAGTCATGACCAATTCATTGAGGAAAGTTCCTAGAGGAGCTTTTTATCAGATAACTAATAAAACTTGACAATTTTATGGCAAAACTGCGGAAGCCTGCTAGTTTCAAATGAATCTGGCCTTTTGATGATTAAAAAGTCTGGGTGTTTACATGTCTCACAGGCCTAAATACAGTTGTTTGTTCCAGCCAGAGTATACTTATGGCATAAATCAAGACTTCATAACTTGGTTATTGTAAAGGGCCAGTATTAACCACACAAAAAAATCCCCCTTCTCCGTGTTAAGGTATACAGAAAACAGGGTGAGTTTTGCAAGGATCAGCACCAAGGTTGGAATAGATTTATGTGTTAAGGGGGGGGGGGGACTCATTCTAGTGGTCTTTGTATGCAGGTGCTCATTAAGGCCAGAAAGTTTGTGATGCATACAAGGACTGTGTAAATTTTGTTATTCTGAAGGATTTCTTTTTGATGCAATGCCACAAGTTTATGTTCTTTACTCTGCTGAACAAGAGTAAATTTATGTTTCCTCTTTCATCTGTGTGAAGTTACTGTGTCTTTGATTTATTTATTTATGTATTTGCGACATTTCTATCCTGCCTTTCTCAGTCCGGAGACAACTCAATTCTACATTGTGCAGATTTCTGGGAGGGCAAATTTGACTGATTCTGATACTAAAGAACCTCTCTAATCTTTAAGACCCCGCAGTAATTGAAGAACCCGCAATGTGAATTTTTATACAATTATCACACTGAGTTATTGTAGTATATTTTTACCTTATATAATTTTAAAATAAAAATGTATATAACGAAAAGAATTATTAATCGAAGCGTTGTGATAGTACAGGCAAGTGCTTAGCTGAACAAAAGCCAACCAGTGGATTCGGTGGTTTTTCAAGCTGAACACATCAAAGGAGATTGCTGTATTTTGAAATATTGCTAGAGTGAGCCGTAACTTATGCCATATTCCCTTGAGAAAGGTTTGTCCTAGTCAAAGAGCTTCACTCTTGGTCACACACTCTTCTGGTAAACTGTTCTAGGTACAATGTGGCAATAAAGGTGGGATGAGATGAATGAGGGCTTTTCCACACAGCCCTATATCCCAGAATATCAAGGCAGAAAATTCCCCAATATCTGCTTTGAACTGGGTTATCTGAGTTCACACTCAGATAATGTGGGGTTTTCTGGCTTGGTATTCTGGAATATAGGGCTGTGTGGAAGGGCCCTAAGATGGGCTGTGGACTGCGAAGTACTAACAAACATATGAAGATGTTGGTGGGAAGGTTATCTTGGGATTGATTGGAAATGGAGGAAGGAGAGTCCGGTGGAAGAATGCAGAGACATTTCTTCAATCACAGCTTCCCAAGGTGACCTAGGCCCTTGTTCCTCATGAGTTTCCCCTATCCTTTGGTCAGAGATATATCCCGGTTTTGCAGACAGATTGTTATAATCAGTAGAGGAGCTTCTGAAGTCATCATAGGGAATTTTTCTATTCATTCTCATGATTTATTCATGTAGCGGGTATGTGAATGACACTAAAGATGAATGGTCCCTTACCCTTTAATGCTCAATGCTTCCACATGAACAATCTTTTAAAATCTAAGTTTCCAGGGTAATGGTTGAGCTTTAAAGAAGAAGCATTAATTTGGAAAGAAATGCACATATAAATTTCAGGATGGGTGAGAAGCTGCCTTGGAAGGACCGCAAAAACATTTCTCTGAAATGTGGAATAACAGAATAGGCTCTTCCATCTTGGTCTTCAAAAAGCATGAGTTATTATGATATCGTGCCTGGGATTTGTTGGTTATTATTGCCTCCACATCCACTCAGTCCATTTCAGCATTAAAAAGGTGGATTTGTGGGGTGTTGTGATCATTGCTCTCCACAACAACCCAAAAGTGAGCCATACATATTCCAGTCTTCATGTTCACTGATGAGCTATAACTCTGTTTTCAAAAAAAAGACAGAAAAAGAGAGATAAGAAGGAAGGGCATGTTGTTTCGTTATGTTTCACAATTAAAAAGAAACCCACTTGAGAGTAGGGGCCATTCCACACAGCCCTATATCCCAGAATATCAAGGCAGAAAAATCCCACATTATCTGAGTCTGGACTCGGATAACCCAGTTCAAAGCAGATATTGTGGGATTTTCTGCCTTGATATTATGGGATATAGGGCTATGTGGAAGAGCCCTAAGAATCAATTGTTGCAGGTGGTCCATGGAATTGCCAGAAAATAGTCCAAAACATTAGACCAAAGAAATATCATTTGGGCATTTAAAAAAAATCAGCATAGGAATTAGACCATCAGATACCATAACCTCTAAAATCTTCCCATTACTTTTATCCCAAGTTGAATTGCTCAGTGATGCGGTTTATGTTTCATTTTAATTCCATTGCTTTGGTTATATAGTGGATTATACTACATATGTCAGGTCTTGAAGTGCTAGAATACTCTGTTCTGTTAAGTAGGAACTGAAGGATAAAAGAATTAATTGGTCTTCTTTTGCTCTTTCAATGAGGTTCATTAGAACCAGTTCATGATATGCTAACTGAAATAGTGTGACTCATGTGAGAACATACCGAACTGATAGACATCTAATATAGCTGCCTAATTACTTCCTTTTCTTCATATGTTTTTTTCCTAATGTAAAAAAAGTTAATAAAATGTGGATTTTAAAAAGATGATTGATGTCATGGGCAATTATGAATTATAAATCAGCATAAATTTCACAGTAGCTAATTAAAATAAATGGCATCTTCTCATCAGAACTAGAAAGGCTTACTTTTTTTGGACTGCAGCTCTCAGAATTCCTCCAATCAGCATGTATTTTGGGTTTGTGGGAGGTGCAGTCCCACAATAATGTTTCCAAGCTGTGAACTCTTGTTTTAGGACTTTTTTTCCAGTTCATCTGACATCAAATTGAATATCCAAGTTACTGTACTATAAGTATGTGGCATATAGCTGATTACCAATGTATATACAATTTGTTTTGTTGTCCTACCTAAATCCTTTTACTCATTTTATGGAGCCCGATTTGACAGTGATCCAGGAATTATATAGTGTCATTATTAACACAATAATAATTATTGTGACTATTATAGGATAGCTTCCCCAATTTGAGTGTGGGATGAGGGATGATAACAACTCAGCACATCCTAAAGGCATCAAGTTGGGAAAATATGTTATAGAGCCCAAGTCACAATGCTGCATCATGTACACTATATTGTGAACCACTGTTTGACTATATTTCTGGTTCTAACAAAGGGCCCTTCTACACATGCTGCAAGACCCGGAAGTAACCAGGTTGAAAGGGTGTGTGTGTGTGGCTTAACAACATTTAGCCAAAGTGCAGGAAGGATCAGATTAAAAACTAAAAAGCACGTGTTAAAAAGGTGTGCTTAAAACCTGATTCCGCCTGAAAAATGTGCACCTCTGCATGACTGTATATTCCTGCAGTCACACAAAATGTGTGCTTTCCTCCCCTCCCCTGTGTAGACTGTTCCAGCTCACGTGCACTTGTTAAAAGCCCCAGACAGCTGATCAGCTGATTTGGCTGTCAACCGGACACAGGTAGTTCAATGGAGGCACAAACGCAGAGCAATTAGAACTCTCCAAAACTCTTTATTTTACACTTTATAATCTTAAACAGAGGTTGAATTAAAAATTGGGGGAAAATGAGAGACTTAAAATCTGAAATTTATAAGAAGGAACAGGAGCTAAAAAATGACCCAGAGAACAGAGAAACGAATAAAGAACTGGAACTACTTAAGAAAAAGAAACATAACTTAGAAATAGAAGAAATGGCAAAACAATTAAAGTTCATTAAACAAACATCCTTTGAAAATGCAAATAAGATAGGGAGGTGGTTGGCAAGGAAGTTAAGAAAAAAGAAACAAACTCAAATAATAAATAGAATAAGATTAGGAGAGAAAGTGGTAACCAATGAAAAAGAGATTATGAAAGAATTCAGTAAATTCTACCAAGAACTATACGCTAAAGGAGGAATAGATAGGGAGAAAATTATGCAATACTTGAATAAACAAAAATTAGAACGAATTTCAGAAGAACAAAGGGAAAAATTAAATAAACCAATCACATTGGAGGAAATAAAAAAGGCAATTAAAAACTTAAAAAATAATAA